TTCTAGCAAAACTCGGTGACAGAAATACAAGAGTTTGTGAGAATTTATGTGCTAACAACTTGGGAGATACATGAGAGATTGAGTGATTGATTAATAACTTTGTAAATCTCTTATTTATAGTGGATTCTTGGCTACTAGGTACAATACTCGGAAAGAACTAGGTGTCTTGTATCGTTCCTCGTTGATTTTTCTAGTAATTTCTTTACCTCGTGTTGACACTTAAATTTTGACTAACTATTTAGTGATTAGTTGCATAGAAAATTAGGGATTAAATTTTAGTCCCTAACAAAAATATTAAAGTTAAATTACATAGCATTTTGTTTGAAGAACATTTATTAAGTAGTTGCATTTGCATCGGATCGGTGGCGGATGGGCTTAACAAAATTTAATTGAACTCTGAGTTAATGGACTCAAGTACAGAGGTTCTGAACCCAATGGAATTAATTGGATCAAGCCCGTGTGAATTAAAGATTTGGCCCAACTCGTTATGCCCTCAAGTGGTCAAGATTGACATGTGCGCTGTGCGTACACATTGAATTAGGAAATATTGAGAAAATATCATGAAAATCTTTGGGCGCAAGATAACAATATTCACGTGAAAAAGTGGACAAAGCTGGAATTTGGACAGGATGGGGTGGAAATATTCGGTAAGGGATAAGGTTGCACGTGGTGATATATACTTGATCTTAATATATCTTCAATGAGGGCACGTGGATTTGCAAGGAAGAGGGAGGAGGATCAGTAGATTTGGTTTCCTTCGTGCAAAGGGGAAACAATATAAAGAAAATAACAAAAGAGGAAAAAAAAAAAAAAGCAAAGGGAATTTGGTTAGCATGGGGCATATATTCTGAGCAATATATTAGACACTATCAAGAGGCCCTTACGTCTTCGGTGGCGTGAACAGAAAGAAAAAGGTCACAACGAAGGGAAAGAATTGAAATGTAATATATTCTAAATAATCATAAGGGGAAAGCAGATTTATTCTCTTTCCTCGAAAACCTAGGACCTCCCTACCTATAAAAGGGTCACACATAGACAAGAGAAGGGGGAGCTCGAGAATTCTCGAGAATAATTTTCGGAAAGACGCGAGTGATACACGTGAGTGAGAGTGAGAGAAGGTCGGTCGTGCCACTCCTTGCCGCACCAACCGGCGCCACCGCATCGCCACCCGAGCCCGCTCATCGCTCAAGAACGCCGAGCGCAGTAAGCCCATTGATCGCCAAGCTGCCGCCGCTACCCCGTGAAGCTCGAAGGCCGCTCGTCGCCGCTGCCCGACGTTTCACCAATCGCTCACAGCCATACTCGTGGTCGTGAGTCATTGCGGACCGCCACGCGCTGTCCGCGACGCCGCCACCCCACCGCCGCTCTTCTCCGACGTCGGTTCTTGTTGTTACTACCCCGCACCGGTGCTCGCTGCCCCGACCGACGACGACGTGCTGGTCACTACCGCTATTCCCGCTCGTGTAGTCGCGCCTCCGCTGTTCTGCTGACCAACACTTCCGCGACCTTCATCAACTCTCGCTTCCCGACGAGTTCGTGGCCAAAAATCTTGACGCCATTCAGCCGCATTGACGAAGCACCAAACCTTGCCGCCTCAACTCAAACAAATTCGTGCCGCGAGTCTTGAAGTCTGGTCTCCGAGCACCAGTGAAGTTCGTCGGCGACAATTGAGGCCTTGAAGTTCCTTTGGTGTGTCGTCCAAAGAACTAGCCCATGCAAGATTATTTTTTGCGGGTTATCCACGTTCCACCACCTTCTTGCTTTGTTGACCAAGAAAGTCGCGAACCAAATTCCGAGTCACACCGTGAGCCACCGTCCGCCGATCCCGAGACGTTCAAACTTGGAAAGCAAATATTCGAATTAGATAAAAAGCTCATATAATTTGACTTTCGAGTATATTGTTTCCTTATTTGAAACATTGCAATCTTTGAATGATATCACCGTATCCATTACGTCCCCGAGTAAACTTTAAATTAGGAATTATTTCCTAATTTCACAACGTGCATATGATTGACAGTCCGATTTCATGCCCGAAATATGACTCGCGATCGCACGAAAAATCGTCAATCCGATCTCCCGCCCGAGATATGATTCGCGTTTGTGTGAAAAATTGGTCAATCCGATCCTCATGCCCGGGATACGATTCGTCAATCTATTGTTTCTAAATTTAAACGGATATCGGTAATATTTCTTGTGCGAGATGGTGTCGTGTTGATTCGATTTCTATCTTTGTTTGATTTGAATTGATCTTGTTTTTCTCAAAAAAAAAAATCCCAAAAAGAATGAGTTGCTTTAGGATAGATTGCATTCTTAATTTGAGTAATTTTTAATTTCGAATTTTAATACCAAAAAGAAGACACTTTAGGATAGATTAAATTATTATTTTTTTAGAATAGGTTGCATGTTAATTTAGGCATTTTTTAATTCCGAATTTCATTGAAAAATACCAAAAAATAAATTATTTGTCCGTCATTAGAATTAGGTCATGTCGTCGCATGACATATAGTTTGCATGCTAGGTTGCATTAATCGCATGTCATTTTTGCACGTCATTGCATATAGGTTAGTTTGCATTTTAATAAAGCGCAAACCCTAATGAACATCTTGAGTGCCTTGCTTTGTTAATTAGAAATCATATTAGGATTGTCTCGTGTGATTTTCTACTAACAATGCAGATGCTTGCGTGGCTTTAAGGTATGTTATCCTGCTATTTATTTATTGCTTTCTTGGGTGTTAAATTGGTGGTTTACGCACTCGCATGAACATCTCACATGTTAGTGATTAGGTAATAAAATGGATACAGACTGCCCGCATAAATATTTTTGAAAAGAAAAGGTACCGAAAGGGCGTTAGACTAGATCTAGCGTAACCAAGTCCCCGAGCTTAGAATCTCTGGTTCGTAGGAATAAAACATATCTCCCTATGTTTTATTTAGGTTTCTAATCGACCTACCATAAATAGATTAGTGGCGACTCCAAGCACGAAAACTTTTGCATGTTAAAAACTTAAACCTTAAGTTGCGAATTGGTAGGGCTTGGGAGGGTTCGAGTTAGGCTTAGTCTTAATAATCCATTAACCTGAGAAAATTTTAGGTCGCGACACCTCGCATTAGATTTAATTGCAAAATCCGATAAATGCCATGTTATTTCAAAACAACGCATCACCATATTTATGCAGACTTGTACTTGAACCTGTGATTAATCACAGTAATGCTCATAAAAGTAGTTCTGATACACTTCTGCAGAGGAAGCAGAACACAGTGACTAGAGATAAGAAGGAAACCGAGCTAATCACCCACATTCGGTTCGATCCGTGTGTCGCTCCTCGAGGTAAGTGTGCATAAGCTAGACGATGATTCATTTTCCATTTCCTTTTCCACATATAAGCGTCATCTCTTCAATGTTCGTGAAACAATTTACAGCAAGATGGTAGAAGTTAGAAATGACTGCTTTTCTGCGCAATATAACACGAAAAGAATTGTGGTCGAAACATAACGTGTGCACGCTTGGCTGGTTCGTGCAGCGGTTCCGATCGTAGAGGCCATGGTGGCTCTGGTGCTGGTGGATCAACTGATGTCGCAGTATGCACAATGTCATCTCTTTCCTATCAATCCCAATCTACAGGACCTGATTGTGCCGCCACGAACTTGAAATGACGAGAAAGTGACGCAACACTATTAACACCTTCGTGGCTATAGGTAAAAAACTAGGGGATGTTCCATAAAGCCTGGTAATACGAAAGATCGAACCAGCCCGAAATTTCCAGTTTGGGCTTAGACCAGTTCGACTTTCGCGAATATGCTGGCTATGTTTTCGAGCTTCGTGATGAAAAGGCCCACGGATACTCTGTCTTTGGTCATGGGTTCAGAACCATGTCTTCATCTTTCATGGATGAGAATTGTATTTTAGGGAATAACAAATTAGCGAAGAATGTTTCTGCTCCTCAGGCAATAATACTTTCTCTCCCGGCAGTCGTTGCTTTTGCAACGTAGCAGTCGTCGTTCCTTTTACAAATAAATTCGTGGTTCGACATTCCCGGCAACGATGGCGGATACAGAAACCTAGCTTAGGGAAGGGCCGAGACATATGATTTTTACCTAAAATTCGTTAGATCCTAATGCGCAATTTACGAAAATTGCATGCCAATGATTGAAGCTTTCACTACAAGTAGACATGGATGTTCTAACTATGAAGGATTAGTCCCATTCAAGGTGTCTTGTTGTAGCTTGGTGGCACTTGAGTTCGCTTGCTTGATGTCTGCTCACCTTTTCATTCCCATTATAATCCAAAGTTCTCTGTCTTACTTCGTTGTATCTATACACTTGATGGGCCCTTCCAAACTTATAAGAACCACGCACTTAATCATACTAAGGAAAAATAAATAAAGAGGTGATAGAAGCCAAAGAATATGTAAAGAGAAAGGTCATCATCGTTATCATTATGGTCGGTCGAGTAGGGCATAATTAGCCGTCATGCTTTAGACTCTCCAGACGTCGTGATCCTCTAAAACCATTGGATAAGGTGAGAACACGAAAACTAGGGTTTGAATCGTAGACCGCAAAATGGTGTCCATAAAGATCAAGATTTTCTTTTCAAAAGTTGGAAAAACGGGTTCCCTAGTAAAGCTAAGACACTAAAGAGGAGGGGCATTTCAATAAAACACTGGACAACATGACTAAACCAAGACGAGAGTTTCATGGTCGACCCACCACCTCCTTGTATATGCAACTTGCCCTTTTGCCTTTGTTATTTCGACTGTCTTAGACTTTGTTGTTGGTGGTTAATCAGGATGTACCACACGACTAAGGTCGTTAGGTATTGTCCTGATTATTAAAAGTATCATACGAAAGGATATTTATTATGTTCATTTTCGGTGTAAAGAATTTAAACAAATTCACCTTTGGATAGGTGACGTGTATAATCGAAGATAGTCGCGTAAACTAAATTTATTCACATGTCACCATCCAACTGTCAATGCGCGAAAAGGATTTTACACTGATCATGGATGAAGTATTTAGTCTTTATCTGAACTCTTGATCAAGCAAGGTTCATTTGCCCAGATGTTTATCTATAACAAAAGCACAATTAACACTGTGAAAGGCATATCAGTCTGCTAGACAGCTGCCTCGAATACCTTCTTCCCCCTCTTTTTTGTGACTGATGGGGTTTGTATTTTGTAATAGTAATTTTCATCGAGAATTAACAATTTTCGAGATGTTTGTAGCCAATTCTCTCAAAAATCAGAGAAGTGAAAATTATCAAGAAAAATTAGTATTTGCAGAATGCCCCCACAATGGCAAAAGTAGCAACCACCAGACAAGAGTTTCTTTTTTCTTTTTCTTTTTCTTCTTTCGATGCATCCAATTGGCTTTACCTGCATTTATGAAGAAAAATTTAAAGAAAAATGTATGAGCTTTTAGAATATTTCTTATTCTTGAAGAGATAAAAAAGCTACATGGAAGCGAGAAATTGAAACAGACATTCGCCTTTCGATAGTCACAACATTAGTGCGATGAAAATCCTGGGTCACAGAGCCAAGAAACATTTGTTTTTCTCACTTAATATGAGACAAATTGAAAACTATAACATGACCCATATAGCATTACAAGGGGCAAACTTTCTGAGAGATTGATTCAGGCATAAGAGAACGATTAAAACATTTTGAATGCTGAGGCCATGCTTCCACTTTCTCTACTCTGAGAGAGAGAGAGAGAGAGAGAGAGAGAGAGAGAGAGAGAGAGAGAGAGAGAGAGAGAGAGAGAGAGAGAGAGAGAGAGAGAGAGAGAGAGAGAGAGAGAGAGAGAGAGAGGTGCTTACTGTGCGAAATTTTCTCCCAATTTATTGGATCTGTCAAACTGGTGGGTCGGGTCGAGTCGGGTTTGGATCGGTCATACATGATCCAATCCAAATTGATCTATTAACCCGTTTATAATCCATTTATTCATAATGCAAATTTCTCAACTCATACTTGACCCGACTCATATTACTAAAACACTTTCATATTTACCCAATCTAGGAAAACTTGTTTCTTATGATTTTTTTTTAAAAAACTTACATTGCTAAGACACTTCCGTGTAATACAAATTTAGCAAACAACTTTTATGAATTTTTTTTTTTAAATTAAATTTTTTTATATTTTTTCTTTCTTTCTTTTCCTTCTTTTCTTTCTACATCCGGCGTCCCTTCGTAGAAAAACAACAAGGAAAAGACAAGAAAAAAAATAAATCAAAAAATTATAAAAAATTAAAAATGATATGTTTATAATTCACCTAAGCTTGTTAGCTAACCCATTTAAGACCCATTAAGTTACTAGGTAATCCATTTATTACTCACACCATTAAATATGAGTTGAAATATGGTATCTAGACTCATTTTGCCACCTCTACCAATTATGCTCTTCAAAGAGTCCACCCTATTTAGCCCTTTAGAATCCGGCAAAGCTTCCACCCAAAATACCTTGCGCACATGTACACGGGTTAGGGCGTCCAAGCCTTTGCCTTAAGTTAGTATATGGATGAGAGACTGTGATTCAAGTTTTGAAGAGGAAGAAGAGAGACTAAGAAGCCCTGCCTAAGTATGGAGTTTACTATTTATAAGCGAAATTATACCTAACCCAACAGTTGATTGTAGACGATTGGTGACATGATATGAACAAGTGGCAATCGAGTCATGACAAGTGGTAGCTTGTGATGACAAGTGGTGACCAAAGGATTCAAAGACCAATAAAAACTCAGTCTTCATATAATGGGAACATCGCTACCTCCTCCAATGGGACAAAGTTTAAGTGGAGCTCTTATTATTAGAATATTTAAATATTAAATCATGACTTCATTCAATAACTTAAGCTTTTATGACAGTTGGCAACGGTCCTATTAAATCTCACATGATATTAAAGCAGGAGGTATTGAGTTCAAATTTTTCGAGGAATCTCCCAATGAAATATTTTTATGTTTAGTACTAGTATAAAAGACCAGCCATCGGCAAGGGGATTGATAGACTGAAATCTTTCTAGGAGTCTCCCAATGAAGTATATTTACATTTAGTACTTGTATAAAAGACCAGCCATCGGCAAGGGGATTGACGGATTGACAGGGATGTCTAGTCGATCTCGAAGGAATTACTTGGAAAGCAACATTGGGTTCACGATAAAGGCAGATCCACCTATCAAGTGATTAGGAGTAGCTTGTCGGGCTTCTATTGATAACCTCGAATATGCTGGTCACTAGCTCACAACATGATTGTCGAACCAAAGGAAAATAGCTGTTGACAAGGCTGGAAGTTTGCAGCAAGAGGACTGGAGATGAGTCAAAAATGTTTATGTTTGTTTTGGTCAAGTAGTGAGTAGTTGATGGATAGTGGAGGCAAACTCCATTTTGGGAAACCTTGAATTTGCCGGTAAAAACAAACCGCATGGGCAGCCTAACCTCGGTGATTGCACCTATCAACACCCAACGACTACTTGATTCGTTTGAAGGCTCTCCCATGGTCAGATTGGAGGAGGAATGGCCATAAAAGAGGATCGAAGCAAGCTGAAGGGGTTGGCAGAAAATGGAGAAAGCTTGCATTGTTATTATCATCTTCCCTCTCTATTGAGCAAACTATGCTAATATCTATTTGTAACTATCTCTGTAGTAGAGTCTTTGTTGCTATTATAATCTGCGATAAGAGGAGTGTATAGTGTGAAAGCAGTACGTACATTCTAATAGTGTGATCTATCATGTGATAGAAGCAGTACTTGCGATATTGTAATTCTCTTGAGAATACTAGTAGATTCCAACCAGTTTTGTGTCGGTTAGTGGTGGAGGGTGGATGTAGACTTGATTATAAAATTGAACCACTATATATTTGTGTGCAAAATATTCTATCTGCCCATTATTCCCTATATATGTTTGATAGAAGCATATGATATTATCAATATGTTAAAGTTAAACTTGAATTGTTCCATGAAAAGTGTTTAAAGTTTTGTCTTTAAAACAACCTGTTCCCTGCCGGTACGGCGAAGGACCTTGGACTTGTGCTTGATAGTGTTTTGCACTAAACTAGAAATGTGAAAATTCGACTTGTTATCGCGTATCCGTTATGCTTCAGAGTACACGACAAGCCTCGGAGGGTTATGTCCAAAGGGTATATGCCATACCACATGATGGTCCATATCAGAATGTTAAAATTAGGGCAATCTGAATCAAGATCAACCATAAAAAAAATAAAAGTAAAATTGAAAATGTGAACTATAAAATCAGCGAGGAGGAGCATGACAGAAACAGTTAAAATATATCTTGAGTTTAAGCTCACGATAGAAAGAAAATTCAAGTATGTTTCTCAATTTGAGTAGATTTCCTAGTTTGAACTGGATTCCTAATTTGACTAGATTTTCTATTTGGATCCAATTTTTGTCTATATATAAGAAGTGGGTCTTCTTCGTATAGAGCATCCGAGAGGAAGCTTCTCCGTGAAGTACACTTTGAAACAATCCAAGAGGAGCTTATGATGTTCAAGCCAATAAAATTTGTGGTAAGATTTGCGAATTCCTTTGTAAGATTAACATATTGTTTCGCTAGTAATTGTGAAGTTGAACACTATTTGAGTTATTTTGTGTAATTGGAGGCTGAAAAACACCGAGGGTGTTTGAGTAAATCGCATGTGGTTGTAATCTCAGTTGTATCACTTTATCTATAGTAGAATTGAATGTTATTCTCTCGTGGACATAGGCCACACCAATCGAACCATATAAATCTAGTGTCCGATTTTTCTTTGTTCAATTTATTTTATTGTTCAATCTCTTGTCTGCAAAAGAAGCACTTATGCGACTTAAGCAACAACACAAGAAGAGCCGAAACCGAAGGTTTCGAGTTTCCCATATCCTAATTCATTCTATATCGCTTCAAACATGCACAAATTAACAACTTCTAAAACTTGTTTCGCGTTACTGAAAGAGAGATTCACAATATTACTATTGTTCTCGTTACGGTTAGTATTGAAACGAAGTTCTGTTAAGAAATCTGCAATCTATTTTGATCAGTACCTAGATCTATAGAGAGTGATTATAATGGGAAAAAATTACCTTTCTTCTGGAATAATTCTCACAAATTCTTGGGACCCCATTCTAGGTGGGACTAGGAGCAGCTTGCCTGGGAGCGACAGTGGGAGCGACTCCGCGGCTCCTCCTCTGGTGCTCCTGCACGAGCTCGTCCGCGAACCAGTCCAGTTTCTCGTAATTGCTCTGCTCCGATACCCTCTTGCCCCCGAAGAGCACCGACTCGACGTTCTTCTGTTTCAGCATATCGTCAGCCATTGCCATCGCCATCTTCACATTGTTAGGGCTCGGGTCTGTATCCACGTCACGCCCGCACTGGCCAAGGCTGGAGCCGTTCGCCTGCATCACCCAATTCGTCAGGACTAATGGTCTTTCCATGAGCAAACTCGGTTGAAACTCTTGCAGGTTTCATTTGCATCAAATGTTCCACAACAGGATATGTGAAGTCATAATCTGAGGACCAAGATGACAGATTTCGGACTGCCCTACGGTAACAATTCACGGGAGAAATTTCAATCCCAGACCAGAGGACGAACCACGACTTGTGCTACGTGACAGAGTGCGAGGTAGATTACTCAAACCATGTTCAGAAAGTATGACTGGATACTACCTAATACAACAATAACAAGCTAATAGTGAATCATATTTCTGATTAAAATGAGGATTGTCATTCCCTAAAGTCAATGCACTGATCTCCACCTTTCTTGACCAACAAAAGAAGTGGAGAGGGACCAATGCATTGATGGTCTCCCTGAGAGCAAAGTGCTGTCAAATTTGCCTAGCAAACAGATGTGCTATAAACACAGAAGGAAAGAGACACCTCCTTTATGGAAGGTTTAGCTCCCCAACATGGAAATGGCCCAAGAATAGGAATTTCAGGAAAAGATAGCCACTTAATCATTTCTCTTTCAGAAACCACGTCCTAATACAAATGAAAGCGTATGCGCCACCACAAGCCAACCTAACTATGGCAATTGGGAGAGCTCTTCCTCTCTCCTGAAGAATATGTAAAAATAAAACCAGACCATTTAGCAAAAGAGGGAAAATTGACCAAGATTCATATGTTTATCCCAGAGCGGTTGCTCCACCTACTATGTATCCACCACGTCCAACTGCTTTGCTAGTCTATAATTCAACTTGTCTAACGTTAAGTTAGAACCTTGACAGACACACCAGTAAAAATTCAAAAAGACCAATGCCGAACCGCAAGCTGCTCAAAATGTTTTCTTAATACCACTGATGTAACCAATGTCAACAAGAGACTAACGATCTGATGATTACACAGCAATGTGCAGATATCGATTGATATCCAGACAAAAGCTGTATGAGCGAATGCAAGTGTTATTTTTACCTACATATCTATTGATTCTTGCATGTTTCATTGTCATATAAAGATTTAAAAAACCATTTGATTACCTGAATCCTTAGATAATTACTGCTCCTACACGGACCAAACGCCAAGGCCACGGCCTGGTCAACCGCATCCGCAGACGCGTCCCCGGTGATCCGCGCCACGGGCCGAGCCCACTCCTTGGCCCTCCACTTCCTCACCTTCTCGTACTCCAACCTCGGCTCTGCCGCCGGCCCCGTCCCTATTGACAGCACCAGCAAGTCCTCCACCCCCAGCACATGACCGAAATCCCGCTTGTTGTGCAGCACGTGGGTGATCGCTGCCGCCGTCGGGTTGCTCATCGCCAACCCCCCGTCCACAGCCACGCACCGCGTCCTACCATCCACGGACCGTATCTCCACTGGCCCAAACGACCCCGGCTCTGCCAATGTGGCCAGGCACACCTCCCAGAGCCTGAAGTTGTAGCTGTCAGCCCCGAGCGCATCGGCCCGCGAGAACAGGAATGGGGACGCCGTTGACAGGTCGTAGCAGGGGATCAGGACCGGCTTCACCGTGTCCTTCAATGTCAGAAACCTCCTGTCCTTCCCGTCCCTGATGCTGAACACCTCTTTCATCGCCTTCTCCATGGTGGCCGTCGACGCCGCCTGACTACCAGAGCCGCCACAGAGCACCCGCCGGAAAAATTCGCCACCACCGTTGGAGGGAAGCGCCAAACACCGACTCCCTTTATCCGCGAGGAACCGCCACGTGTCCTCGGCCTCAGAGATGGGACGTCGTGCCGGGCCTCGGTCCCTGGTCGCAAAGAGCATGGCAGCCAAGATGCCACCTACGCCAGAGCCGGCGGCGATGTCAAAATAGTCGGCAATTCGGGCGTCGGGATTGCCGGACTTGGCCTTGAGCACGCCTTCCAGATAGGCCAAGGCCTTGCCAAAGACGAGGCCTCGCATGCTGCCTCCGCCACCATCGATGGTGAGTATGCAGATTTTTCCTGGACGCTCTGTGATCGCAGCGTCAACCTCGTGATGATTTTGTGGGAGATTTACATGAGGCTTCGGTTCTTCTGGTTGTGTATCGGGTATGTGTTTGGGGACGAGGAGCTTCTTCTGGTCATGGTCGCCGTAGCCAAAGAGGAAGTTGGTCTCGAGGATTGAGAAGATCTCGTAGCTGAGCTTGTCCGTCTCGATGCTCGGCTCCTGCATTTGGATCGAACTGCATGCCATCTCTTGAATTCAATCGAGCGACGAATCAATCCAAATTTCATCATATACCACCCATCTTCCAACACCCTTTTGGTCGTCGATCAAAGCTTCACTCGATTCCCACCGATTCGACAATAGTTTCCGACCTCCGATCGTCTCTGCACGTGACGGACAAGAACAAGAAACAGAGAACAGAGAACCGTCCTCGAACTCTGTCTCTCCCTGTCTCCTCCCTTTCTATATCCCTCGCTCAGTGAAAATCGCCTTTCTCCGAGCAGAGCACGCGGAGGACATCGTTTCTATACTACGCGTACATCAACGCAGAGATTGAAAGATACGAAGTTCCGATGTTTAACAAGAAAACAAGGAGGGCGAAGAACAAAGCAGTTGCAGAGCATGTCCGTGTATGGGCTTTCCTTAGAAATGGAGGATGAAAACAACAAGACGGCGACGTCTCTCTCTCGCTCTGCATTTTCTTTGTGACGTCACTGGTTCGGTCACTTTCGACGGTTGAGTGCCGATCCGTTGAGTCGGGTCCGTTCTCCTGATCCGACGGTTGGGATCGTTTCGTTGCCGGGTGTCCGTGATGAACGGTCAAATTGGTGATTTTTTTTTCCCCTTTTTACATTGTTTCACTCCGGCGCTCGGGGCGCGGGCGGCTGCGTGCGGCCCGAAAGCAATCTGATTTCAGCTGCCGAGGAATGGAGGCCCACTTATTTTTGCTGATCAGGGGGTCTTCATTCTCTTTGAACTCGTTTAGACTAAAGTCGGGATATGATTAAGTTTATCATATCTTATATTCGGTTATTGTCGAACGGGATAAGATTGAATATAGGATGGATATAATTCGGATAAGATAATTCCATGTAGTTGGCTGAATAGAGGTGAATACTATATATCTTATACACATCTCTCTTCTTTGTACCCTCTATCTAGTTATGGCTGCCAGCCGTAGCCTTCGCCACCCATTAAGAGTGCTCGTTGGTAAGTCCCCTTCTCTCTCTCCCAGCTTCAGTTAGGGTTGCATCATGGCTACGCCGGCCTCGGATCCTCCCTCAGTCCATGGTGACCTCGGATCGAAGTCACGGGCAACATTGTAGCTAGGACAATCTCGATCGAGGATGTCCATGGTGGCTGGCGACCTCTAATTGAGGTCGCGAGCCACTAATTGCGACGGATTAACCTCGTCAATGGAGGTTAGAGAGAGACACACACAATTAACAAAGAGGGGAGAGGGTCGACGATGACGGCACTAAGGACGGTCGATCATGGCGACAGCCTCAACGGTAAAGGTTTCCAGGGTTGCTGGATATCAGGGACCACTTGCCTAGTGGCGCTACTTCCCCAAGTAATAAATCTCGGTTGGGTTGCTCGACCCAAGCCAGATTTCCATCGCTTAGGGCTACTTAACCCAGCATCATTGTCAACTATGCAAATGATTAGTTGCCATGGTGTCGCTAAGACTTCATGCCAAATATTTTAGCGTGTCTTTATATTCATGCTCATACCTGGTCAAATTGGACAATAAATACACAAAAGGTATGTGATCATGGAGCTAAAGTTCATCAGACCTCTCTAAGCCCACCTCGGCCTCCCAAAGCTAGCCTAAGTGAGCGGGTCTAGACAAGGTATTTGCAGGGGACAATCCAATTTTTCTAGGCATGACCTCAACACACATATTTTTTTTTTTTGGTAAGGAAACCTCAACACACATATTCATCTTCAAATTAACCAATAATGAATACGTGGTGGACCTTGCAATGAGGGGCGATCTGTTCTAGTATGGGAGGTTTCCGGTTCGGTCCGGTTCCTAGATGGGTCCATGGAACTAGCTTACAGCTGGTGGCGATGCTACTCAACGTGGAATTAGGGACGGCATAGGGAGAGCTATTCTCAAGCGACTGGTTGCAACCGGCGGCGATGCTACTCAATGTGGAATTGGCGATGAAAGCTTTGAATTGGTACCGAGTGGTGATATTGATGTAGCCTTGCGAAATCCAGGAGGTCTCGAAAACCGCGGGAGTGGCAGATGTCAAAGTTGGGGACGAACGAGGCAATGAGGGTCTGGTTCGTGACCCAGCACGACTCGAACCAGTTGAATGTGGTAAGGAAGAAGCCGGTGAGCTAGAGCTAGCAGGACTATATGAGGCAAAGACCCTAGAGGATGTAGTGGCACTCGGTAGAGACGTCGAAGGAGGGGTGGGAGAAGGGGGTGATAACGTCGCTGACGACAGTGAAGTTAAGAGGGCAAGTGGCGTTGTTAGTAGCATTCTAGGACTTCGACGGAGGGAGGCAGAGGATGAGAAAGGCGACGACAGCGGAGGCATGGCGGAGGAGTGACATCGGTTTAGCTTTAGGGGTTGAGGTTGTTGGGGTGTGGTTCATACTTTCCATCGTCTCTATTTAAGCTCGAAAAAGGAAAATTTCCTAATTCAAATAGGTATCCTATATTGATTAGCTTTCTTAGAAAGAGATTTCATATTTTGAATCAAATTGTTGTTTATATATATTATTTTTCTCTTGTAATTGAGAAATGTAACAGCGATGTGTGAGCTGCTAATTATTGTAGAATCATCTACTGGACGTAGTCTTAGTATAAGGGTGAACCAGGATAAAATATTGTGTTTCGATTTTTTCTTTATCGTTTTTACTCTCAATTTCTTTGTAATTGTGAGCCGATTTCTAACATCTAGTATCAGAGCTAGGTTTGAGGTTAGAATTTCTGGGTGAAAAGAGATCTAAAAAAATCGAATCTTGGGAAGATGCAGCTGGTCAGTCACAGATTAAAGTAGAGAAGTTCGAAAGAAAGGGTTTCGAGTTATAGAAATTGAAGATGGAGGCTCTACTCGTGAATAGAGAGATCTGTGGCACGTGATCGAAGATGATAAACCTGAGGAGAATACCAAGGGGAAGGCAAATGAGGACAAGTCGAAGGACTCTACGTCCACCGAATTGAAGGAGTGGAACAGTAGCAATCGGAGGGCATGAAGCCTGATCTGGCTATGTCTTGCTGATAACGTCCTGGTGAACATGATCCCTGAAAAGACGGCGGAGGATCACTGGATGAAGCTAGAAAGCCTTTATCAGAGCAAATCGATCGTGAACATGCTATTTCTACTGAAGCGATTGTACGACCATGGATGTTAATCTTTTTCTACACACTTAAACCAGTTTAATACTATTTGTAGGCAACTTGCATCGATGTTAATCTGGATGAGGAAGATAAAGTATGTACTTTGTTGTGTTCGCTACCAAATTCATAAGAACATATATTTGTTTCGATTGGCACTGGTGTTAGCGCGCTATCCTTTGAGGGAGTTATAGCTACTTTATTGTCTAAGGAGATGAGGAAAGCAGGTTCTGATAATGCAACGAATGAGGCTCTTTTCGTAAGAGAAAGTACAATGAGCAATCCAAATCCAGATTTGGTGGCAGGAATAAGTCTAGAGGAAGATCTAAAAATAAAGATCGATCGAAAATAACGTGTTGGAAGTGCAAAAAACCTGGACACTTGAAGAAGGATTGCTGAAGCAAAAGTGCAGGTCCAGAAAAGCAAGATGATGCATCATCCTCTTATACAAAGAAGGATGAAGATAGCAGCACCGAAGACATGTATGTCATATGCAATTCATCACTGGATGATTGCAGTACATAGATAATTGATACTAGAGTGTCTTCAAACATGACGCCTCATAGAGATTGATTTTGTTGTTATCAGCCACATCAGAGAGGTACAGTGCGGATAGGAGATGACGTGACGCTTGATATTGTTGGTCATGGAAGCTGAAGATGAAAGATGGGACAATAAAAAATCTTCCATATGTGATGCATATTCCTCGTCTTATTAGAAATCTTATTTCTATGGGAACAATGGATGCTAGCATTACTTGCACTGGCGATAGATATTCATGCAAGTTAATCCTTAGATCTATGGTGATCGCCAAAGGCGAACAATATGGAAAACTGTGGGAGTTATTGGGAAGCAAAATGATCAGTGATGAGAATTACATAACAAACCAGATGGAAGATGATATTTCAATGCTATAGCATTGGAGATTGGGTCATATCAGAAAGAAAGAGCGGATGACCCTCACCTTAAAAATGATGGTGGATGAAATCCCAAGCAATTCTATGGGTCTTGGATTTTGTGAAAATTCTACATAGGAAACAAAATAGGATATCTTTTGAATCAATAGGATGGAGAGCAAAAGGGATTCTAGATCTAATCCATAGTGACGTCTTTGGTCTTATACCTATTGCACCATTTGGACAATCAAGGTATTATATTTCTTTTTCAGATGATTTTTCTAGATATGTGTGGATATAGATGATGTCTTTGAAAAGTTTCACGAATTCACAGCTTTGGTGGAAAATCAGTTTGATAGGAAAGTCAAAGTTTTGCGGACTGACAACAGAGGAGAATTATGTTTAGCGAAATTTGATAAATTCTATGCAACCAGTGGCATTGCAAGACAGAAGACAACGTCCTATTCACATCAGCAGAATGGAGTGGCAGAGAGGTTTAATTGATCTCTCATGGAGAAGGCAAGGAGCATGTTTAGTGGTACAGGCTTAGCAGCTATTTTTGGGCGAAAGCAATTTCTACCGTACGCTACCTGAAGAATAGGTCTCCCATATTAGTTTTGAAGGATCAAACACCATTTAAGGCACTATCCAAGAAGAAGCCAAACATATCACATGTTAGAGTGTTTGGATGTGAAGCGTATGTACACGTGCCAAATGAAAAGAGGAACAAGTTTGAGAGCAAGTCAGAGAAGTGCATCTTCATTGGGTATAAGGATGGTGTCAAAGGGTATAAGCTGTAGAATTCCGAGACTAAACATATCATGTACAGTAGGAATATGATGTTCAGAGAATCTACGACAAATCAGATTGTTCCACAAGTTCCTGAAAAATCACAGATGGTTGAACTAGATGTTGGTTTAAAGGAAGAGACAGAGGGTACTTAAGCTGGAATAGAAAATTTAGATTTTGAAACTGATGAGCCTAACGAGGCTAATGATGTAGTAAATTCTAAAATTGAGCTTGAAGTTGAAGCACCACTTGAACCGGTCTTAAGAAGGTCCACACAACTTAGAAGACTACCTGAGATGTATACTTTGTTTACTTGTAATGAAAATTGTGCTCTGATTGTTGTAGGTGATGATCTAAGTACAATCAAGAAAGCAAGAAATGCGGAGGATGCCAAACAATGGGAGAAAGCCATGAAAGATGAAATTGACTCACTAGATAAAAACAAAACGTGGAGTTTGGTAAAACTTCCCGCAAATCGAAAGGCAATTGGTTGCAAGTGGGTGTTCAAGAAGAAGATATTAGCAGATAGAGAGATGGAACAGTACAAAACTCGTTTGATTGTGAAGGGATACTCACATATAGATGGAGTCGATTATGGTGAGATTT